CGATTGCAGCACCTTGAAACAATGTAAGGACCCCTGTTTCCTGAGTGAGATGGTGGCTCCCACCTGCACCCCAAATCCTTAATCCCTGCCTCCCCGTCCCTTACCCATCTCAGATGCTAATAAAGTCAAAAGACAAGCATTCTGGTTCTCATCTTTATTGCTTTAGAACAGGAAAAAGAAAACGTCCCCTTTCCCTCACCCCACCCCTGTTTGAACCAGAACCAGAGTCTTTCTTCCAGTAGTCTGCTTCAGGGTCCCGAGCTGTCTTCTTGGCACGTTTTCTGGGTGCAGCAAGAGAACCGTTACCATTACTAAACTCAGTAATGGTAACGGTTTCCTCGCCATTCCCAAGTGCCCTGGCAGTCAGCAGCAGGCTGTGATAGGCTGGGCGGTGAGCCTCGGGCTTGCGATATCTCCTCTGCCCTTGTCAGGCTGCAGAACTGGGGTATCCGGACTAGTACATCATCTATACTGTAGTGTCTCATCACAAACTTACAGTATATGATGATATCCCAGCCAGGGCCACAGGGGCACAGGGAGCATAGTCTGGTGGGCACTGTGGGTAGGGAGAGCCAAGGACTGGGGACAGAGCATGACAGAGCAGGGCTGGGAGCACACAGATCCCCTTCCCTGCACCCCAGCTCTCCCCCCAGGTCAGTGTCTCCTTGATTCTGTTGTCCAGTGCAGCCCAAGTGAGTTAAGGGAAGGGAACCGATCCCAAGAGGGCCCTGCAGAAAAAGGATCTGTTGAAATTTCATAGGGACTTAGGGCCAGAATTAAGCCAGAAATAACAGTGAAGCAGAAGGTTCTGGTTAGACCAATAGGCAGACACCCAGAAAAGGAGCACTCACCCGAAGCTGGAAATGCAGACTAGGGAGGCCTTTGAATGTAGGGAGGCCTTGTCCCTTCCTCTTCACTCAAGCTGCTTGCCTTTTAACCCACTGACCCCTCCCCTGGGTGGGGCACTTTTCCCGGTTCTAGAAGGCCCCGCCTCTTAACCCTTCCCCTGCTGGACTCCATGGACCTAACGTCACTGGCTCCTTTCCCCTTTGGGCCTTTTTTCAAGCTCTGGGAACCTTCCCAAGCCTCAGCTTCACCTTTCATTCCCATCCCCATGATCTGGTCATCTGTCTACTGACCCAGGGAGGAGAAAGAACAGCCTCACCCATCCTTCGACTTAATTACTGGTCAGAAAACCCCGGAAGGTTTTTTTTGTTTTGTTTTTGGTGGTGGTGGAGAATGTTAGTTGAATTGCCTATAGGGCAGGAGGGCCCTGGCAGCTAGATCTTTGTGGAACCTATCTGGGGTACTTGCAGGATTCCTCAGCCTAAATTTCCATTCCCAGGTCCTGCCTATGTTTATTCTGAGCCCAAGAAAACCAGGCCTAGGAAGGCAGACTCCTTGCCTACTACTGCCCTGGCAAGGTCCCCTCTATGGCAGGGTGGAGACGGTGCTGTGATGGGACATTGAGTGTAGCTCTTGGGAGAGCAGGCATAAGAGTGGGTGGGAGGGGACCAGCAGTTAGCGTAATGGCTATGTTGCTGGACTCCCATGTAGTCAACCTCGGTTCGAGTTCCGGACCGGCGGCTTAAAACTCACCCTGGGCATGTGTGCATGCGTGCCCAAGATCCTGAGAGGAGAAAGGAGGAGAAGGGGTTGTGGCCTGGCCATGCCCCCTAGGGGGCGATTTCTCGCTATCTCTCTGTCTCTGTCTGTCTGTCCGGTGAGCGCACACGCCCTATAGCAAACCCCCCCCCAAAAAAACTTTCATCTTCTGCTTTTATGAGCTTCCAATTATACACGAAACACTAGCCCATCTTCACCTCTCAAAAGGTAAATGCCTATCGCGTATACATTAATTTGCATCTTTAAAAAGTAAAATTTAAGAAATATCCTAAGAGATTAACACCAAAATGGCACAAAGTTAGCAGAAATTGGGCCACCAGGTGGTGTAGTAGTTATGGCACTTAACTCCCACATAGTTCAAATCTTAGACCCTGTGGCTTGAAAATCATGGTGGCTGCATGTCAAAAAAAAAAAAAAAAGAGTGAGTGGGAGCTGCTGTTCAGAGCTCCAGGCACTAACAGAGAGAGCCTGGTGCTGCTCGGTTCTCTGCTGCTGGGGAAGGGCAGACTCCTGAGCCAGGGCGTCCTCGAAGCTGGACCTCTGTTATTTAGACCCCCATTCTAGGGAATGCCTCCTCCCTCTGCCCCTATCCTAGACCTCTGTGTGCTGGGAGGCCAGGGTTACAACCCTTCCTCTGCAAGTGCAGACTAGACCAGGACGGGGAGTGGGAGGAGAGACGCAGCCTGCCTTTGGTTCTGTGGGAGTATGGTGTTTTTTTCTGCCACACTTTGGCACCTATTCTACCCTCTGCTTAGCATGACCTTTCTTGTCCAGTGAACTGTCCCAGACCCTCTTCAGCTCTCTGTTACTTATGCAGGGAGGCCTTCCCAGGCCTGGTGTTTGCGATGGCTTTATTTATTTATGAGATTATCTGCAGTAAGCAAATAGTCACGAAGGCCTGGCTTATTCACCGGTGCATGTCCGCCACATAGGAATAACTAAACATTCTTGTCGACTGACCGACATCAAGCTGAGCCTAATGGGAAGGAGAGGACCCTGGGCCTGGGGAACAGAAAGACAAAGCTGGGGCTCGCAGGCAAGCCTCTTCTCTCCTGGACCCTCCCTGTGCATGTTCGTGAGAAGGAGTAACAGTCGCACGTTCACAGGGTTGTGAGAACCAGGTCAGCTGCTGGGAAAGCACTTGGTGCAGCACTGCCGCCGGTTCACAGGGGGCCAGACCAGCTGATCTCTCCCGGCCCTCCCCGCAGAGACCCAGGGAGGAAGGCCACGATCCTAGTTGCCAAACGTCTGAAAGCCCACGAAATAGTCCTTTTTTCAGACACGGGCTCTCCATGTCACAGTCATCCTGCCTCGGCCTCCCAGAGAGCTGGGACTGGAGGCTCAGGCCACTGCATTGGCTTTCTAGGGTAAACTGGGACTTGAACCCTAGTCTCCCATGTGGCCTCAGCTCGCAGAATAGCGTCAACCAACTAGGATGGGTTACCACAGCTGGGCCAACCAATGAATATTCTTTTTTTATTAAATGCCAGAAGCATATGCTCCCACATGAGAGAGAGGGAGAGAGATAGAGAAAACACATCTGACAGGGCCAAATCACAGTGCAGTCCTCTAATTCTTCATCCTGTCAGGACCCTGGGCATGCACACATGTGCCCAGGGTGTTTTTCAAGCTGCTGGGTGAGGATTCATCCCTGGTTGGCCATATGGAATTTGACTCCTTTAATCACTGGGCTGAGGGGCTGGCCCTATATAATACTCATGAAAGCACCTTGAGACCATTAAGAGAACCGAGGATTAGGGGGTGGCAGGCTGTGAGTGGCAGCTTCAGCTCCAATGCATCCATCTCTGACTTCGGGCCACGTGTTCTCAGCCTCGGTTTCCTCAAGTGTAAGGAGCAGTCACTTACCTTATGTGATGATGGCGAGGGTTATATTAGCTCTCATACGTAGCACGTATGGAGCACACCTCAATTTCCTTCCCTCCTCCTTGCTCGTCTCACTCACTGGCTGTGTGACTGGGGCAGACTGCACTTCTCTGGGCTTGGTGGTATTGCATATCTCACCAAGCCGGAAGAGTCCAGTGAGAAATATGGGTGAGAAAGCTTCATAATCCCAGGTGCTCTAATCAGGTGAGAAATCATTATGTCTGCTTCTGCCTCCCTGTGGCTCCCTTTCCTGTCCTGTCCCCCTCCTTCCAGGCCACTCTACTCAGAGATCCCACAGACAGCTGGAGCTGCTTTACAGCAGTGAGGGCTTTGTGCACCAGGGCTAAACTTCATAGCACTCACTGCCAAGCCTTCTGCCAAGTCCCTGGAGGCCAGCTCCAAAGATGAGCATGAGCAGAACCCAGGAACCTCTGGAGCCAGAGGAGGCATCTCAGCCAGCCAGCCAGGGGTCCTGTGGCTGTGGCCCCTGACAGGGCTGGAGGGGGAAGGGGTGTTGTGATCAGGGCGTGGGCTGGAAGAGAGTCTGGGCCTGGGTGGGGTGTTCTGAGAGCCCAGATAAGGGGACATTGCTCTATCGGGGTGGGAACCTAGTGCCATTTTCTTATCAGGAGACTGCAGCAGCCAGAGCAGGACCTGAGGACACTTCCCACCTAGGGCCATTTCCCTGAATGGGTGCTTTTCCATTCCTCTCCCTCCCTAGTGCCCCATAGGGAGTCCCTCTCCCTTTCAGCAAGTCACATGGAAACTCTGGCCAACATGGGGGGAGGGGATACCGCCTGGGTGTATGGGGCTGGCTTCAGGTTCTAACAGTTTTTTCTTCAGACCAGGAGCTCCGTGGCTCCCCAGAGGCCAGTGTAGGCCAGTCTGGGGCCTTCACCCTTCTCCAGTCTAACTCCAATCCCTTCCACTGCAGCTTTAAGCTCTGACTTATTCGGACCTTCTTTGGAAGAAATCCTTAAATCATATGGTAAGTGATGAAATGTAAATGGTCAGATCACTAGAGGCCTTTAAAATCATGGAGTTCAAGTCCCTCACTGATAGAGGAGAGGAAGTTGAGACCCAGAGAGCAGGAGACCATCATCCAAGGGTCTCCTCTACCGCTCAG